GAAAGAAAGAAAGAAAGAAAGAAAGAAAGAAAGAAAAGGAAGGGAGGTGGAAAGAAAGAAAGGAAGAAAAGAAGGAAGGAAGGAAAGAAAGGAAAGAAAGAGAAGGAAAATGAAAAGAAGGGAAGAAGGGAAGAAAGGAAGAAGAAGAAAGGAAGGAAGACAGAAAGAAAGAAAAGGAAAGGAAAAAGAAAGAAAGAGAAGGAAGGAAGGAAGGAAGGAAGGAAGGAAGAAAGAAAGAAAGAAAGAAAGAAAGAAAGAAAGAAAGAAAGAAAGAAAGAAAGAAAGAAAGAAAGAAAGAAAGAAAGGACATTCAAGATACTGTTGGGGTCTGGTTGGGGCCTTAGGAAGCTGAACACCTTCCAGGAGCTCCTGATTTCTCACTGTGGCCAAACACTTCTTGGAATCCCACCAGGACATACAGCAACTGTCTTTACTCACTGATGTCCCTCGGCAACTGATGGACTAGAATTGTGAAGTTCTGGAAAGCCTGAGGTGACTTTGAGCCTGTCACTATCGGTCAATCCAGGCTATTCCACAGGGGTGTTCTAATGCTGACATTGTCAAGAACAGATGAGCCCTGAATCCAACAAATTGTTAAAGAACAACTTGAACTGACCCCAAGTTTGGAATAAACCATTTTTAACAAACCGCCTTTTCATGACTATTCCAATTCCCATTTTCCCTCTGCTTCTCGCAGATGCCTTCATAGCTTTCTCTCATTGCTTGCTAAATCCAGCAAAGATCCACCAAAGAGGCTGGGCAGCCAACTATGAAGGATGGTGAGACCTGTGTAAGGGGTTGGACTTTGTGATCTCTTAAGTCCCTTCCAACTTTATGGTTCCATTCTGCGGTCCTCAGTAGGGGTGCAAGCCTGCAGTTCCACATTTATATTTTTTTTAAAAAAATAAATAAATCCCCATCGAGGGGGGAAGCGTTTTCTCTCTCTTACTTACTTGTTTCCATAGGGAACAGTAATGCCAGCCACAGGTCCCGTATCACAGCCCAGGAAAAGGAAAGAAACGTAGCATGCTGTGGACACCAGGCTGACCAACATAGCCATCTGAATGGCACCCAGGGCAGAAAGGCTCAGCTTCTTCACTAAGAGGCCTCCTAGGAAGATGCCCAAGCATGCACAGGGAATAGCCGTCATGCCTGTAAAGGGAACGGACAATTGCAAAGGGTTGGATTTTGAGTTTTTAGCCTGATCCCAGCTCAAGACACTTCTTTGGTTCTTTGTGTCAAGCATGGAAAGTTGGCTTACTTGTTAGGGTTCCAGCAAGAGCTCTAAGTAAATCATGAGCCTCGAGACAAGTTTCAAAAAAACACTCAAAAGATTTATATTCACAGTCACCTGTGACCCTGTTTCCCACTTCCCCCAGTGTACAATAAATCAGATTCTCCAACGAAGCATGTTCATGGGCCGGATGTCATCAATCATGTTCTCCAATAAAGGACGTTTTCAGCCAGAAGATCCGGTAGCCTAGCTACAATCTTTTTAAGATAATGGTGGAATGCACTTCTGGATTTACTGCCATACTGCTCCTTCAGAATTCCTCCCACCCTGTTTATGGCAACTTGAAAAACAGGCATAGAAATTTTTACGAGTTGACATTTGGGTGGCTAAGTGCCTTTTCATTTCAACTTGTCATTAGAGTAAGAAGCGGTTGTTTTTGAATGGGTTAGATGGGGAAATGAAACTTCTATGATTCCGCTGAAGGCCGCGGAAACCTGGGATCTGTTCAAGGACATCACAGCAGGTGTGCAGCTGAAGCAGACGGTTTCCTTGAGAACGGTTTTTTATACGGTCTATGTGAGAGGCTGGGGGGTTGGATTGGAAAAATGTTGTTTTATTCTACGGACTGAGGTTTAGTAACTTCAAAGTTCATTTTGCTTCGACATTACTATGCGGTGTATTCAACAAACAGTAAGGAATTTTGGAAACAGAATGATCCTGGACTTGTATTTGGATTCTCAAGTGGGATGTTGACCCCTAGATTCTATTCTTCACCGGAGGGGAAAAGAGTTGATCTCTTCTGGCTAATAACTCACCTAATAACTGGTTGGCTGATGACGTTGTAAGATTGAACTGCTGTTCCAGGTACTTGCCAAGAAAGGCTGCAAAACCTGCCACCACCGCAATCTCCATGCAAGCCGCAAGAACAATGCAGGTGAACACCGGATTGGACAGCAGGTGCTTAGTTACCTTTGGGATCACTGGAAGGAGGAAGAGAGAAGAAGGGAGGGACAATTTCACAATGAGTTTTCTAATTGCCACCCTAATTTCTTTAACGGTGCATCTTTGGGGGTTTTCTCCAGACCATCTACCAACATATTCCAACGTGGACAGGGAGAAAATTCCATGGGTTGATTCTAGCTGAGGAGGGTAGTGTCAGATACACCACAGCTGGTCTAGCTAGAAGGATCTACCAGATGATGCTTTGACCACATGAGTTGAAGCCAAGGGCACCTGCTCATCTATTTCCAATCCACTGAAGGTCATCAGGGTGATATCCAGGGTGGAAACAGAACCAGAAGAAAGACACTTCAGTGAAAGAAGTTTCCACCAAACTTTATAATTAAAAACAAGCACTCACAGCTAGAATTGCTCATTTGGTTGCATTCCTAAACTGGATCAGAAGATTTAGTGAAAGAATACAACCCTGCTAGCCAATCACAAGTAAAACAACATCCCAGTCAAGGAGTCCATTCCCACCAACGCTGAGAGAGCAAGCCAATAGTATACAAAATGAGAGCAAAACAAACCCTGTTTCCTTACTAGCACTGATGATGTTACCTAGTTGGGGTAATGAAACGTCTGTAAGAAAACAAGCAAGCTCAAAGAGCACCTAGCATTCCACAATTAAAACTGTCAAATGGCAACTTGGACATGGCATCTCCAGCCATATTCTCCTAAATTTACTATTGGAGCATTCATTGACCTCCATATTTTGTTATTTGTTGAAATTTCCCTCTTTTGTTTGTTATTGTTAGCTGCTGGAATATTTCTACCCCAATTCCTTGTTATAAGATATTCATAGCAGTTGAAGGACAATCCAAGAGAGTTTAAAACAATCCATCTTTAAAATAACTAACCAACTTAGATCCATTTAGCAACAGCAGTAGGGGAAAAAAAAACAAAAATCACCACAAAGAGATTTTGTTTTTTGAGATTTCTCATTGAAGAGTATAAAAGATAATATTTCTTTGAAATGTAAAGGACATTTAAGAAGTAAGACAACTTCTGGAGATGTTCTCAAGGACAGAACGTGATGTCTTTGCACTCCTCAGTTTTTTTTTTTTAAGTTTTAAACAAGAAATGAAAACTAATGCCAACTAATATAAAGTAAAAGAAAAAAGTAGAAAAGAAAAAAGGCATAAAAATGACTTCTGGTCTTCTCAGCAGTTATAAGTATAAATATATTTCACCTCTTTCTCTCTAAAGTTACTCTGTAGTCTTGTTTTTTCTGCAATCTATCCTATTTAATCATCAAAACTATATCTTTTTTTTACATAAAGGGCCACAAGAGCCTTTTAATTACCAATAAATTAGTCTTTTCTCCCCCTCTAATCAAAGAAGTAAATTCATCCATTTCAACAAAATCTGAATTTCACCAAATCCTCCATAGTGGATAATGTTGAATTTTTCCCTTTCTGTGCATATAATCATCTTAGCCATTCAAATTTTGAGACGACTGCATGGTTTACAAACCTCACTGGCCCTGTTGCCTGTTTTAATGCTGGGCACAGAAATTCTCTTGTGCTTTTTTTCCTTGCTAGTTCTTATTCCTTAAAGAAAGGGGGAATGTTTTTTTTTTTTAAATGTCTTTCAAAGGAGAAGAGAATATTGGAGAAATTCTCCTGGGCAGAAGACAAATGCCTTCCATTTGTCAATTATAAGGTGGATAGAAAAAGGTAGCAGTTTGCTTGTGTGTGTTTGTGCATGTATCCCTCCAAAGACGGTCTTTGCTAGCCATTTTTCCCTCCCTGGAGCTTTTTTAAAATTGGTGCGACTGTCACCATCGTGGGAGTCCCACCTTTGGGGAAAAATTATTAAAGTCTCTCCTTCTCTTAAAGAAATATATTTTTTCAGTCCACCATTTTTTTAGTCCCATCTCTGGAAAAACACCATCTCTCTCTCTTTCTATTTCTTGTACATTAGTTTTGTTTGTGGTTTTATTCTTTTGTTGATTTTGTTGGGTTTGGACCATATTCACTGAAAGCTACAAGAGATGATCTGTATGTATATATTCCACTGTCAATCTAACTCACCTGGACTATTAAGAGGTACACAGGCCCACCTAGTGATCACTGAATGCATTGCATGGATACTTAGTTTGATTCTGATTAGCAATAGCAATAGCATTTAGACATATATACCGCTTCACAGTGCTTTACGGCCTGCTCTAAGCGGTTTACAGTGTCAGTGTATTGTCCCCAACAATCTGAGACCTCTGGATTACTGAATTCATAGCACAAAACAATGGAAGAGCTGAGCTCAACCTGGTCTCTAGATATGCTCTAGATCTAGTGTTAGAATGAGTCCTACTTCTTTTTCTATACCAGTGACAGATAATCCACTGGTCCAGTAGGTACCTCTTTGTAGGGGCTGAATCAAACATCTCCTGCCAGACAGAAACACCCGAGAAAATGTATGTTGCTTTCACACGTCTACATGTATTATAAAATACCAGTGAAGTTGTATTTTACATCCCTGGTTTTGTATTTTAATATCTTGCATTGCTCTTGAAATGTGATGTGAATGTGCCCTATGATAAATAAAATAACAGTGAAGTTCAATTCAGCCACTTTGAAGTTCTATCTTACCATAATTGCATCCCACATGGGTGTAGGTCTCCTGAAATCTTTTATTTTCATTAGTATTAATTTCACCCCAAGATCATCACCGGATGATTTGCTCGGCTACAAAACTCCACAAAGCTTCCTCTTGGCTTTGGAGAAGTGAATGCAAAAGCTGAGAACGTGAGTTTACAGAGGGACTCCTCAGTTAATTCAGTGAGCCGGAGCAGCCGTCTACTTGGGTAGGGATTTTAATTCCTCGGGAGACAACTCAGCTTGAGCCAGATGGGATGCTAATGCGAGCAAGAATTCCTTAATATGTAGCAACCAACCCTGGTGCAAATTCCAAGTGAAAATAATTTAGGTTGAAATTACTTTGGTGAAGAGCTGCTGAATCCTCAATGGGACTCATTTGCCTTCTGCAAATTCCTCGTTTCACTTCACACTTTCTTTGTTTTCCCACCTCCTGTAACAGGATTTAGCTTAGACAAGCACTTTTTTTCCCTCCACATGCTCCAATGTTTATCTCATCAGCTAGCAGGGGTTGGAGTAAGAAAGCAGAGCTGAAGAAGCTGCCCTCTTAAAGAGAATGCCAGATATACCGTCATGCTAACTAACCTCCTTTTGATTATGCCACCTGCTCTTGTCAAATGAATCTCTTTTTCCTAGCAGATTTAAAATCTGCTCTCAGGAGTTTCCAGGTGCAGAAATATCCTACAGAAAGACTCCTTTGTTCCTAGATTCCTGTAGGATAACAGAATTGGAAGAGACTTTGGCAGTCATCTAGTCCAGCCCCTACTCAATCAGGAGACTTGATACCATTCTGGACAAGGGGTTGTCCAACCTCTTCATGAAAACCTCCAATGATGGAGCAACCACAACTTCTGAAGGGAATTTGTTCTACTGGTTAATTGTTCTCACTGTTTAGAATTTTCTCCTTAGTTCTAGGTTGCTTCTCTCCTTGATTGGTTTCTATCCATTGCTTCTTGTCCTGCCTTAGGAGACAAAACTTCCCCTTGAAAATGAGCTGTGGTGGCACAGTGGTTAGAGTGCAGCATTGCAGGCTACTTCTGATGACTGCCGGCTGCCTGCATTTTGGCAGATTAAATCCCACCAGGCTCAAGGTTGACTCAGCCTTCCATCCTTCCGAGGTGGGTAAACTGAGGACCCAGATTGTTGGGGGCAGTAAGCTGACTCTGTAAACTGCTTAAAGTACTGTGAAGTGGTATATAAGTTTAAGTGCTATTGCTACTGCTGAGAAAAATGAGGTTGTCCTTCAACTATAAATGCTTCTTCCAAAGGAACCGTATCACCTACTTTAAGACCACCATCAGAGCTGTTGGACAGTGTTACCTGGTCTGTTGTGTGGATGCTTGTGTGATTTTAGGAGATGGGGGATTTTGGCGGGTTGGGAGGTGTTTGGGGATTGTCATGTGTGTGTGCATGTTGAGTCTGGTCTCTGGGTGTTATGTGAATTTTGTTGTATGTATACTGTGTATATATGTACAATGACAATAAAGAATTCAATTCAATTCATTCAAGCCCATTGAACTACAGAATCTTTCTCTTCTGGTGTTCTGAGTAAGTGCCATTTGGTGAGGACTAGCAGCTCTGCAGGTTGTAGGTGAAGCCTACATAGCTGTGTAACTCAGTGGTGGGATTCAAATTTTTTTACTAACGATTCTGTGGGGTGGTTTGGTGGGCGTAGCAGGGAAAGGATACTGTAAAATCTCCAGTCAGAGGTGGTATTTTCCGGTTCTCCAAACTACTCAAAATTTCCACTACCGGTTCTCCAGAACTGGTTAGAACCTGCTGAATGCCACCTCTGGCGTAACTTCCCCGTTGGGTCTCAAAGAAATGTTTCAAGGAGGCACAATGAGAAATTAAAACTGTGGCTGGATGAGGGATGGAAAATAATTTTAATGTGGATTTTGTTAGGAATCAACTTCAGATTTTCACTTCCAGGAAATTCCATGGCTGTCTGGTTTTTCTTTTTTCAGTGGAAAGACAATTTTATTTCTGGACTGCTTATTTAAAATTAGCTGGGATATAAATCTGCCATACTAAGTGGAGAGTAAAACAGGAACACTTTACATTAAATTATATGTTCGTAGGTAGATTAGAATAGCGTTTTAGCAATACCAACCAGGTCTTGCCTCCAACCATTCAAGACAGAGTAAAAGGCCCAAGATCCCTTCCGTTTGGAGCTTGGTTCCATGGAATGTGATTGCTTGGACTTTCCTTATCACTCTCTCATTCTCTCCACCTCTTGTACGGGCAGTCCTCAACTTATGTCCACTTTGTACCCCCAAATCCTGTTGCTAAGTGAGTTTTGCTCCATTTTACCGCCTTCCTTGCCATAATTGTTGGTAAATCCCTACAGGCGTTAACGTGGTAACATGGTTGTTAAATGAATCTGGCTTCCCCATTGACTTTTCACTCACAAAAGGGAGGTGGGGGGGTGTCACATGTACATTGCAACTGTCATAAATAATGAGTCAGTTGCCAAGTGTCTGAATTTTGAGCCCGTGACCCCGGGAATGATACAACGGTCATAAGTGTGAAAAAACAATCAGAAGTCACTTTTTTCATGCCATGGTAATTTCAAACCATCATGTTGTGCCCCCATCGGAGTCTGAATCCAAGGAGGAAGACAAACAGCCACCAGGGAGTGGGAGAGTGACTCCGTTGGCTGTGGAGGAAGAATGGAGAAGAGAGCAACATGGGTTGTATGGCTTACAAGGGAGGAAAGGGCCCTGATTCCCTTTACAAGGCACACCTGGGGAGGGAGTTTAAAGGAGAGGCAGATGGGAGGGGCGGTTGTCAGGAAAAAACATTGAGTTTATCTTGTGTTTGGCTGTGGTTATCTGAGTTCCTGGCATCCTCCCAACTGCTTTGATTTACTGCCTTGTTACTTCATTACCTTATTTTGCCTTGTTGGATTTGTAGTTTAAAGTTTTCCATTTACAATGTTTGGACTGGCATATCTGCAGCCAAAGGCTGGTGCAGGTTCGTGGGAGAGTTTTTCTCCAGACCAGAAGGTAACCGGGCATTGGGGACAAAGTTGGAGCTAATAAAGGGACTCATTCTTATTCTCTGGCTGTGTTGCCTTTGTGCCACACCTTGGGTCCTCACAGGTCACTGAATGAACTGTTGCAAATCAAGGATTACTGGTAGTTCATAACACCTATGTGCTCAGATGCAAAATAATTTTTGTGACTGGTTCTAAAAAGAAGCCATTTGACTCTGGAGCAACCACACTTTTTGTCACTGTGACCTTTAAATTGGCATGGTACCCCATCACCGGATGAGAGCAAGACGCAACGGACTATTTGATCCTAGAAACAAATGTTCTACTTACAAGGGATCAAAGGTTTCCATGAGAACAAATGGAAAACCTGCTTGCTGGGTCAATCCAAGGTCAACTCAAGAAGGTGAACCAGCTCAAGTGTTAATTCAGTTAATTTCAGTGCTCAGGACTAATGCACAAGGCTGTAATTATTTCCCTCCCATCCAATGGTTGGTAGAATAACTATTTGAGGGAAAGGAGTCAAGACGTGCAAGGCAATCTAAGGTCTGCATCAGGTAATGAATCTAGCTAGTCATTAACCTTGTTGGCTCCCGCAGAAGCCACCTGGGCTATGAAGGAAGTGCGTCACCTCTCAGCTGCTGGAAGCAAGATGGATCATCGTTCGCTTCCATGGAGTGCGGTGGGAGAATCCCATTGCTTGGCTTTGGCCTTTCATAGTCCCCTTCTGGCAACATGGCTTCCTCTACCTCTGCTATGTGCTCCGGCTGGCAGGTCAGGGACTGTGGGAATCCAAACATTGGGAGAGACGAGAAGAAAAGTAAGGCACCGCAGAGCAAGAAGCCAGCCCACCATGCGCCAATCCACCGAGGGTCATCAGGGGTGATGTCCAGCTTGCCTGCAAAGAACAAAGAGATGGGGCCTTTACTTGGGTAGACAAGGATATCAGCATGTAATAGGAAAGCCCTAGTTGACTAAGAAGAGATTGGACAACTCTTCGTTTGAAATAGCACAGGGTTTGCTGCTTGAGAAGGGGGTTGGACTAGAATAGGGGTCACCAACCTTTTGGACCTCAGGGACCACCAAACTCATAATTTTAAATCTCGCGGACCACTAATATGAACTTTGACTGAAGGTGGCTTGCTGACGGTGGTGGGAAAGTCGCCCCCATATTCCAGAGCTGCAGTAGTCACAGGACTGGCCCTCTGGTCATCCTGGAGCAGCTGCTCCTCCACCTGGGTACATCGGCCTGCTATGGACTGGAGGAGCTGCTCATGGATGACCAAAGGGCCAGTCCTGTGACTACTGCAGCTCTGGAATATGGGACCGACTTTCCCATCAACATCAGCAAGCCATCCTGGGATGGATTTCCCTCCCTTGCCGTTGGTCTTACCTTCCAGTTCCAGCTCACGTGGCTCTATTCAAGGTAAGGTTTACACAGCCTTGTATGCCTGTGCAGCCTGGATTAATTGCTTTTTGGGGGGGGTGTGCTTTGGGGGCGACATTTCTCTGTGGGCCTCAGAATTTTCTCGTGGACCACCAGTGGTCCCTGGCCCGCTGGTTGGCAACCATTGGACTAGGAGACTGCCACGGTCCCTTCCAACTCTGTTATTTCCTCCACTGTATGCAGTTTTCTTTTGCACAGGTGCACAAGAGGAGAAGAAATAATAAAACATGTGCTGGGCCACAGCACGGAAATTATTATTTTTTTAAAATGCTGCAATTTACATTACCATGTTTAAAAATAATGAGGCTGTTTGGCACTGTGTTGCTGCTATACGTTTTGCTTTAAGAGCCGTATTTCAGGTGTTTTGAAAACAACCACCGCTGAGAATCCATAGAAAGGAGGAGGAAAGTATGATATTTAGCCGGCAGGTGGCTTGGATTTTCTTCACAGGAGTGCTTCCAGCAACAAATTTATTTTTGAAATTGCTTTTGGAATTTGCACGCGCTCTTAGTTGACCAGTCAATGAGGACTCAATCATCCAGGCCAGAGGTCTCCAAACCTGGTAACTTTAAGACTTGTGGACTTCAACTCCCATAATTCTCCAGCCAGCATACCAGCTGGACTAATCTTAGCTGACTGTACCTTCCTCTTGTAGTTATCTCAATTTTCCCCATATCTTTGTCCATCTCTGCCTCTTTCTATACACGTAGGTGGAAAGATGGAAGAGGGAATGAGACAACTTGCCTCAGGCAACATGCTGTGCCAACTCACCATGGTCAACTCACTGCGGGACAATTTAACATTTGTTTTAAAGTATTTAAACAAATAAAAATGATTTTAATTTTTGCCATTCAAATTTCATTCTGTCCCTTATTTTGCATCCTTTCTTTAATTATACTATTCCACAATTCCTTTGATATTACACTGTCAAACTATTTAGTAAGACTGTATTAATATTCTTCTCATCTTTTCTATTACTTATCTCCTTTTCTACTTATGACTACAACTTTGTTGCTTGTATCTTAACGATTTATATTATTTTCTTTAGTTTCCTAGTATGATTTATGTTGATTGCTTATTTAGTATCCTATGACTATCACTAAGTGTTGTATCGTATGATTTATGATGTATGTATTTTTATGATGACCATGATCATGATTTATCACTTATAGCTTTTATGTACAACGAGAGCTTATGCACCAAAGACAAATTCCTTGTGTGTCCAATTGCACTTGGCCAATAAAGAATTCTAATTCTTTGATATTAGTGTAACTCTTGTCCCGCAACGAGTTGTCCTGTGGTGAGTTAGCCATGGAGAATTGTCACAGATCTGATGGAAGGGCAGCCCATATCTTCTACTGATGGCATTGACAGATGGAAAGCTAGGAGCAGCCTAAATGAGGAGAAGTGAGCAATTCTGTGGCGGGGGGGGGGAACCATCTAGATCAGGGGTGTCCAACCTTGGCAACTTTAAGACTTGTGGACTTCAACTCCCAGAATTCTTCAGCCAGCAAAGCTATACCTAGGTGTATAGAAAGAGGCAGAGAGGGACAAAGATATGGGGAAAATTGAGATAACTACAAGAGGAAGGTACAGTCAGCTAAGATTGGTCCAGCTGCTATGCTGGCTGAGGAATTCTGGGAGTTGAAGTCCACAAGTCTTAAAGTTGCCAAGACTGGACACCCCTGATCTAGAGTATAATTCAAGAGAGAGAGAGAGGAAGGGAGGGGGGGAAGGAGGGAGGGAGAGGGAGAGGGTGAGGTTGGATTAAGACAGAAACTAGGTTTCATTTCATTTGTCTTTCTGGTTAATTAAAACAAAATACAGATAAAAGGATTACCCTTTAACTAAAGGGTAATCCTATATTTTGTTCTAAGACTCTTCCCTCATATTAAACATTCCAAGACACTTTTAAGATCTGCAGGCCTGCAAGGCCAGAATCCCACACTGTAGGATTACGTTATTACATAACAGAGTTGGAAGGGGCCCTTGGAGGTCTTCTAGTCCAACCCTCCGAAGGAAACCGTATACCATTCTAGATATACGGTTGTCCAATTCATTCGTCAAACCCTCCAGTGATGGAGCACTCCCAATTTCTGGAGGCAAAAGCCGTTAACAAATTGTTTTCGTTGATAGGAAATTTTTCCTTTTTGCTAAGCTTCCATCTTTTACTTCTTGTCCTGTCCTCAGGGGCTTTAGAGATAATTACTATTGATATTAGCAGCAAATTGCTATTTTGGGTGATCCCTAAGTGTTAGCTTCTGATCTCTTTGTCAGTGACTGTTATGGCTCTCTTGTGCCTGCAACCTAATTGTTTCCCCAAAACGGTGGTCTTTGTGGCTTCTCCACCTAAGTAGCTGGCTTTGCACAACACACTATATCATGTTGTGGCCTAAGGTGATGAGCTGGCTCACAACACATTAAGATAATGACAGGTTCCTAAAGAACCAGAATCTAAAAACACTTACCTTATTTCTCCTAGCCCAAGTGTGCTTTGCAAATCCAGCTAAGACACTCATGGTCTTATTGGAATTATAATACCAATGATTTATGTTTATTGCTTTTAAAATAGTAACAGGGAAAAAAAGCAAAAGGAACAGAACACCAGGGAACATATATTACGTTTGCAGAGCAAAGCAAAAACATAACAGGTGCTTAAAACTGAATGAAACTGAAAATAGAAATATAAAGTTTATGTAGAACGTATCTCTGATTGCCAAACATAATTTTACAATGGGCATGTTCATGATATATCATCTCTCTCCCTCCCTCCCTCTCTGACCCTCCCTCCCTCTCTGGAATCAGGAATAGGTAGCTTCATATGTTAGGTCTCCTATAGAGTATCAGAAGTATGCCTAATAAATCCCACCAGAATGAAAATGGTCATATTGTGCCTCCTAGTGATCACATAGAGAAAATATTGCAAAATTATTTAATAAAACAAAAAGCAAATCCACATTGGATGCAGGTCTTAGGATTTTTAGAAGGAAGCCCAAACAAACCACTACAGCTCTTGAATCTGAGTACAAATGAATAAGAATGGCAAATGCACCATCTATAGCAACTATACCCACCCTTTTTCTATTTTTTTTTTTTCAAGTCTGCGTGCTTGGACATTTATTACTTTTTTTTTTACAATTTAGGTGCTGTGAAATTGCATTTAAAAGGCAGGAGATGTTGCCTGCCAATCAACTGGCATGCTTCTGACAAATCTAGCCTAATCAATTTCAGCATTTAATAACTGGATGTGATTATGTGATCTATTGCTCACTCCAGCCACAAATATTGATTTCCTTGCTTACCGCAGGGTAAAGAAATTTTGGGAATCCTGACAAGCACCCTTGATAAGGAAGAGTCTTTTCAAAACCTTCATTTTGGATGTAAAAGGTTTTTACCCCGATACAAATGCATTTGGATGGCATGATTGATGGTTTGATAGGCAAGTCAAATGCTAACATCTGGCTTGTGTGCCACTTTCATTGCGGAGAATTTCAGGTTCTTTTTCAACTAGGACAAGAAAGTACCAATTTTGTTATATTGCTTTTAACTGATTACAGAATATAATGCCTCACTAACTCACACCTGTGTGTGTACAGCCTGAAAGCCTTTTTTTTTTTTTTTTTTGCCTGCAACTCTTTCTGGAATAACCATGCAACTCTGATGCCATCAGAGTGGTATTCAACAGGTTCTGACCAGTTCTGGAGAACCGGTAGCAGAAATTTTGAGTAGTTTGGAGAACTGGGAAATCCCGCCTCTGACTGGCCCCGCCTACATCTATTCTCCGCCTCGTCCCGAGTCCCAGCTGATTGGCTGGGTTTTCTTTTGTTGCCCTGCACAGGAGAACGGAGCTGGAAAGCAGGTTAGTGGAGTGGGGAGGGAATGGGGATTTTGCAGTAACCTTCCACTGCCATGCCCACCAAGCCACGCCCACCAAGCCACACCCACAGAACTGGTAGTAAAAAAATTTGAATTCCACCACTGGATCACATGATCAGTTCAGGAAATACGCAGTCAATTTTGCTAACAGGGTACAGGATATGATCATAGTCCAAATGAAAAAAGACGTGAAAACCTGAACGAGATCCTCTCTTTAAAAGTTAATCTACCGTGTTCTCTTATACTTTTACTTCTATTAAAATCCAGGAGGGGGAAAAAAATAAACAAATGCTGGATCAGCCTGGAAAAATCTGCCCCCTTGTGGGAAAAAAAAACAGAGTGGATGTAATCCTAATGTTTTCCAGAGATAATCTTTCTACAGGTAGTCCTTGTCTTAATGACGATAATTGAGCCCCAAATTTCTGTTGTTAAGTGAAACATTTTTAAAAGTGAGTTTCACTTTTAAACATTTTACAACCTTTCTTGCCACCGTTGTTCAATGAATCCCTGCAATTGATAAGTTAGTAACCCAGTTGTTAAGCGAATCTGCCTTCCCCATTGACTCTGCTTTTGCCAGAAGGTTGCAAAAGAGGGAAATCGTGTGACTTTGGGATACAATAACCATCGTAAGTATGAACCAGTGGCCAAGCGTCTGAATTTTGATCAAGTGAGCGTTGGGGATGCTGCAACGGTCATAAGTATGAAAAATGGTCATAAGTCACTTGTTTCAGCGCCATTGTAACTTTGAAAAGGTCACTGAAGGAACTGTTGTAAGTGGAAGACTTTCTGTACATTACTTGAATCCTGCATTTTTATATTCATGTTCGTCTTGCCATTCTGTTCTTTGAGGGGAAACGAAAACCAAGGAGCAACAGTGGAAAACATAGTTTTACCTGCTGATGTCACATTGAAAACTGGGTGGCTTTTTACTGCTAGCTGCTAAGGAAGGCACGGGGGATAAGGAAGAATGAATTGCCTCAGCTCTGCATGCAAGAGATTAAGCTCTTTTAATTCTTGGCATCTACAGGTTGGCTTGAAAAGATACTCTTTTGAAATCTTGGGAGAGCTAAAGGGAATTGTAGCCCTCTAAGGACTGCCCTAACTGAATAGCAGAGTTGGGAGGGACCTCAGAGGTCTTCTAGTCCAACCCCCTAGTCAAGCAGGATACCCTATTAACATTTCAAACAAATTGTTGTCCAATCTCTTCTTAAAAACCTCCAGTATTGGAGCACCCACGACTTCTGGAGACAAGGCGTTCTACTGTTTAAATGTTCTAACTCTCAGGACATTTCTTCTCCAGGTTGCTTCTCTCCTTGATTAATTTCCATCCATTGCTTCTTGTCCTGCCTTCTGGGCTTTTAGAGGATAGGTTGACCTTCTCTTCTTGGTAGCAGCCCTTTAAATATTGGAACCCTGCTATCATGTCACCCCTAGACCTTCTTTCATTAAACTAGACATCCCAGTTCCCGCAACCGTTCTTTGTATCATCTAAAGTTTGTCATTTGGGAATATGGTATGTCAGAACGGTGTTTGATAGCCTTAACAACTTCAAGATGTGTGAATTTCAACTCCTGGAATTCCCTTGCCAGCATTTGCAGACTTCATCTCCCAGAATTACTGCATTAAAGTAATCTGACTCTCAGCTACCCTAATCCATATTTTTTATCCCACCATCTTGGATGGAACCTGGATTTTAGGAATCCCAGACTGCAAAAAGACTCCCTTGACTGAGGTTACACAAAGATGAGAGATCTCTCTGGAAACTTCAAGGTGGATGCTGACTACCAATGAGGTGCCAAAGTGCCAGGAAAACTACAGTTGGGAAAAGATTATACTATACGGCTTCCTCAGTGGGTCAAAAGAAACCCGCAGTGATCCATCATAAGAGATCTGCTTGTCTAACCTGGCAAACGATTTGTGGCTGCATCACTGGTTCCCGGATGGGAAACAAAGCAGTTTATTTTGTTGGATAAATGACATTTAAAAGCAATTGAGAAAAGCTGGAGCCAAAGTTAAACAATATAAGATGATCACAATGCGGCAAGTTTTACGCAGTCAAGAGATGAAGGCGCCCCATTCCATTAATTAGAAGTTCAGTGTGCTTTCACAAGCCATTTTCATTGTGCCTAAATTAACCCACTACATACACTTGATTCCACATGGGAAGGGGCTAAGATTACTTAAGCTCCCTGCACCTTTCATTGATCTTGTTCCACTAATATAGACTTTGCTATAAGAGATGGAAAGCCAATGCAATGCTAAGCGGCATTAACAGAGGGATACAATCAAAATAAAGTGTACTTACTACTTTATAAAGCCTTAGTAAGATTACACCAAGAGTACTACATCCAGTTTTGGTCACCACACTATAAAAAGATGTTGAGACTCTAGAGAAGAGTACAGAGAGGAGCAACCAAGATGATGAGGGGACCAGAGGATAAAATCTACGATGAATGATTGCGGGAACTTGGCATGGTTAGTCTAGTGAAGAGAAGGACCAGGGGAGACAGGATAGCAGTGTTCCAATATTTGAGGGGCTTCCACAGAGAGGAAGGGGTCAAGCTATTTTCCAAGGCACCCGAAGGCCAGACAAGGAACAATGGATGGAAACTGATCAAGGAGAGATTCAACCTAGAAATAAGGAGAAATTTTCTGACAGTGAGAGCAATCAACCAATGGAACAGAAGTTGTCTTCTGAAATTGTGGAAACTTCAGCACTGGAAGCTTTCAAGAAGAGACTGGACTGCCATTTGTCAGAAAAGGTGTAGGGTCTTTTGCTTGGGTGTGGGACTAGATGACTTATAAGGTCCCTTCCAACTCTGTTAATCTGTAGATGATCAGGCTGAACCCAAGGGAGGGGTCAAGCAGCCCTCTCTTGACCCATTATCTTCCATCAATCAGCCTTCACCTTTAGTAGATCAGATTCTTGTTTAATGGTAGCACGAAATAACCTCATATCATTTAGGACCTAAATCTGGCTCCTGATTTCTGGTGCTTGACATTAACTGGACTATTTTTTCATCCCCAAAACTTTCTTGGTATTGCAAAAAGTGGTCAGAAAACTGAATTCTGCATCCATGATCTCTTGAGTTTCTGATCTCCTTTCATGGAATCATATATTCTTTCAGTAGCCCTTTAACCAGAGGTGGGTATTCAGCAGGTTCTGACCAGTTCTGGAGAACCAGTAGCAGAAATTTTGAGAAGTTTGGAGAACCAACAAATACCACCTCTGACTGGCCCCACCAATCCCATCTATTCTCGGTCTCCTGAGTTCCAGGTGATTGGCTGGGTCTTCTTTTGTTGCCCTGTACAGGAGAAAGGAGCTGGTAAGCAGGTTAGTGGTGTGGGGAGGGAATGGGATTTTACAGTAACCTTCCCCCTGGAGCGGGGAGGGAATAGAGATTTTGCAGTATCTTTCCCCTGCCATGCCCACCAAGCCATGCCCACAGAACCAGTAGTAAAAAAAATCTGAATCACACCACTGCCTAAATCTGAGCAGCCTGTTTAAAAGTTGTTAAATAGTAAAGGCAGTAAAGAAAGAAAGGAATAAGAAAGGGAAAAAAGCAGAAGTGCAGAAAGAAAGAAGAAAAAGAAACAGAAGGAAGGAGCTTGTGAATTCCTTTGCAGCAAATATAAGTACAATTAAAAAACCTTCTTGGAATTTCTATTGTCTACACTAGAGCAGTGGCTTGATGTTCAACTTCCCAATTGAACATATTTCCTGATTATTTTCCACCTTATTAGCCCTGATCAACTTTTTTCAAGATCACTTAAGATTAGCTAAGTATTCCCCTAGGAACAAATAAAACTCAAACAAGCCAGACAGCAGGCGTAACATCTGGCTTCACCCAAAATCTTTCAAAAGACACAGGTTTTCTTCCTTCTTTCTCTTCTGACGCTTCATGGCCTGTTGTTAAAAGAATGTTCTTATTCTAATGTGCAAACCCCGGTGGGGAAAAGTTACCTACTTGTGTCAATGAAGACAGCATCCACATAAATTTTGGTGCACAAAGATCCCAGGATAAATCCACAGGCCGGTCCAAACACTAGCATTGTAAACAGGATCCCTGCAAAGAAACAGAAAATAGCACAGTGAAGATCACAGTAAAATGTCTGGTGTCGATGGGAAACTTCGTGCTGGAGAGTGTGGAATTCATAAAATTGAAGGTCTATGGACATTTTCAATCATCTCGGTCATGGTTGTCCCAAAGCTGCTTTTCCAATCGACTGTCTTGATATAAAACATTCTTTTCTATTTGAGTAAGCTCTCCGTTAGACAGATTTCTCACCAACAACAACCAAGTTCAGAGAGCACCAAGTGTCCCACAGTAGAATTCTAACCTGTCTTTCTGATATATTAATTTTGTAAATAATTTTGAGTCACCACTCACTCCTTCCAACAGAGCATTTGTTTTCAAGTTATTGCGGAGATGAACAACTTAAGAATTCCCCATTTCCTCCCTTCTACCCTGCTCACAGAAATGCTCAAATGCAGACCCCCACCCCAATTGCAACCAAGTTATAATTTTTAATGCGATGGAAAGAGAACACTCTTAAATACACAGAGGATGACCATACTGAGACATGTTAATTAAATTCAAATTACTGTGAAATTAAATCAAATTTAGTTTTGATCCACCCCCCTCCCATTTCTTTCTTCTGGTCTCATCAATATTAATTGTCGGAGGCTCCCAGCAGATTAGTTAAAATCCTAATTAGAAGGTAGCTACACAAATTATGCCAAGCCACCCAGCCCCTGTGATGCCTCTTGCTTGATAGATGATGGATGCATTTTCTTATATGACAAGACTTGATCGTTCTTTCCAGAGCTAAGATTCAGAATATAGATCCTCCATGTTCAGAGGCAGTTTACCAGCAAAAACAAAGACCAGCATTTATGACTTGTTGCATTCTTAAGAGAAAAGCATGACTTTAATCCTGGAAGAGCTTTCTTTCAATCCCTTGAATCACAGCTCATCCCATTCATTTTATCCCTGGTAGCTTACAAAAGTTTTGATTAATGAACCAAAGCAACAGAAGCATGAATGAACCCGTTCACTCACCATGCATAGGAACGATTTTATTTGTTTGTTTATTTGTTTGCTTGTTTGTTTGTTTATCAATAGCACTTAGACTTATATGTTGCTTTATAGTGCTTTTACAGTCCTCTCTAAGAGTCAGCATATTGTTCCCAACAATCCGGGTCCTCATTTTACCTACCTTGGAAGGACAAAACTCTGAATCAACCTTGAGGTGGTCAGAATTGAACTGCTGGCAGTTGGCAGAGTCAACCTGCAATATGGCATTCCAGCCAGTGCACCACTACTTCCTGGCAATCAATCTCTCTCATTTAGCTATTCATCTATCAACCATCTATCAAACTATCCATCCATCTATCCATCCATTTTCTTTTTCTTTCTTTCTCTTTCTTTCTTTCTTTCTTTCTTTCTTTCTTTCTTTCTTTCTTTTTCTTTCTCTCTCTCTCTCTCTCTTTTTTTTCTTCATCCATCCATCCATCCAATTGATATGACCACCCAACTCATGAAAAGCGGTTTACTAAGTTAACCAGACAAAACAATGCAAATTTGTTCAGAAATCTCCCTCCAGCAACAGTATTAGTAAAAATGAAAAGACGGGGAAGATGGAGAATACTTTGTAAAATGGTGCACAGATAGACCTCAACTTATAACCCCTTTGTTCAGTGATCATTCAAAGCTACAGTGGCACTGAAACAAGTGACGTAACACTATTCCTAGTACTTATGATTGTCCCAGCATCCTCATGGTCACATGTTCAAAATCTGAGACTTAGCAACCGGCATGTGGTCAATATTTGTGACCTTCACAGAAAGTTTCCAACAAACAAAAGTCAATCGGAGAGATCGGATTTACTGAACAAGTATGATCCTTACTTAACTGCAGGGTTTTCCTTAACAACTATGGCATAAAAGCTGATAAAATTGGGTGCAACCCACTAAGCCTTGCTCGGAAATGAAAACTCTGGTCCCAATTGCTGGTGTAAGTCAAGTACTATTTGTATAACGGACATTTTTCAGACTTGGGGTTTGAATCCAATCAGGTAAGAGAAGATCAGATTGCAAGGTGCCTGGAGAGGCTCCATTTGAGGGAAATTAATGTGTTAAATAAACCTAGTGCAAAATTGGACTAATTGTTGGATATTCCTATGAAGGAATGTTTCAAGCCTTTTTTCCTCCTATCTAAGATCCTACCACTAGAGGATGCTAAAGCAAAAGAAGAGAAAGAAAAAGAGAAAGATTGAAAAGAAGACGACTATGGGTGGGAGCCACAACCCCAAAGTATATTTTCCCAGGCTCCATTTTGAAATTCCAGGTAAAATGGACAAGCACCCAGCCTGAAGTTCTGGAAATCCCCTGACAATCCATTCATGATTGATAACACTGGGGGAAAAAGGACTGGGGTTGGACTTGAGAAGGCAGCTTTCTTAAAAGACTGTGACAAATTACTGACTAACGAAGGAGAATATACACAGTGTCAACAGTTGAGACCTTCAAATTTCTAGGTTCTATCATATCACAAGACCTAAAATGGACACCTAACATCAAAAACGTCACCAAAAAAGCACAACAAAGAATGTTCTTTCTGCGCCAACTCAGAAAGCTCAAACTGCCCAAGGAGCTGCTGACCCAGTTCTACAGAGGAATTATTGAGTCTGTCATCTGCACCTCTATAACTGTCTGGTTTGGTTCTGCAACCCAACAGGACAGACACAGACTTCAGGGGATAATTAGGACTGCAGAAAAAACAATTACTACCCACCTGCCTTCAGTTGAGGACCTGTATACTGCACGGGTCAAAAAGAGGGCTGTGAAAATATCTACAGACCCCTCACATCCTGGACATAAACTGTTTCAACTCCTTCTTTCAAAAAGCTATGGAGCACTGCACAGCAGAACAACTAGACACAAGGACAATTTTTCCCCAAACACAATCACTCTGCTAAACAAATAATTCCCTCAACATTGTCCAACTATTACTAAGTGTGCATTACTATTACTATTACTATTGACCCTCCCATCTTTTCTTTCACCCATCTCCTCCCACTTATGACTGTATGACTGTAACTTTGTCGCTTGTATCCTAACAATTTTTATTGACTGTTTCCTAATATGATTTGATTGCTTATTGTACCCTATGACTATAATTAAGTGTTGTACCTGATGATTCTTGACTCTTGATGAATGTATCTTTTCTTTTATGTACACTGAGAGCATTTGCACCAAGACAAATTCCTTGGGTGTCCAATCACACTTCGCCAATAAAAATTTTACCTATCATCTATCTATCTATCTATCTATCTATCTATCTATCTATCTATCTATC